ACTAAAGTTATTCATATGCTACATTCTATCTGAAACAGATAGAGAATGAGGTTAGCAGCCTGTGGCACTCATGGCCACCTTACTTGTGTCACCTTACCCAGTGGTAAGGTGGCACAAGTGGCACCTTACCCGGAAGCCCGTGGCACAAGTGGCACCTTATGGCAGCTGTCAACATGTTTTCACTGAGGCTCTTTATTGGAAACTGAAATTTGAGACTGTATAAAAAATAGACCAGGGCATATTTGCTTTTTTGAGGGAACACAACGCTTAAGAGGAAATGCAATACGTTGTGCCAGATCCACCGTTGTTTTCATTAATTATAAATTCATTCATATTAAATCTGACACAGAAGCTGTCACCAAAGAATATTCTATTCCTATTCTATTGTTTTCCCCACAAAGCATATTTAAATATGCTTAACTATGTATAATACAATTAAAAAAAACCTTTAAAATAAAATTGTTTGTAAATATAGCTGTTTGTATAAGGTTTCCAGTAACAAAACAGCGTGTTATGAAAGATTAAATGCGCAAATACGTCATTGTGCCTGTCCAACGTATAACGCTGAGTGGAGCGGTCGACCGCTCTAAAATGGCCGCCCTAAATCTCATCAGCGAAAATAGGCGAGAGCGGTCCGTGAGGCGTGGGAGGTGCCAGTATGAGGTAGCGGCAACCCTTGGAAGGTGCCGAAGTCAGCCGAAGTCAGTGACAACACTGGCAGCTAGTCCCGAAAGCAGTGGCACTTGTGGCAGGTGTCAGCGGAAGTGCCAGTATGAGGTGCCGAGGTCAGGCGAAGTCAGTGACAACACTGGCAGCTAGTCCCGAAAACAGTGGCACTTGTGGCGCATAATGACACCTGCCACCGGAAGTGCCATTAGTAGATGCGGTGTCACGATTTGCACCTGCTGTCTCTCAAGAAGTCATTACTATTCAGGCAGTTAAATGTTTGAAAGTTTGAAATTGAAAATAGAAAGAGGGCTGCAGACATATGAACTTACTAATATCAACATTTTAGCATTAATATTTAGAAATATTTAAAATTCTCTTCAGCATCCTACTTGTCTGTGTCTCAGATGAAACAACCACATTCCACCAAGCCACCGTCAGAGTCCTTGCTGAAGACAGACTCTCTGACCAGTTGGGAGCCGGTTCTGTCTGATGGATCAGTAGGGTCAGCACCATCTCTGGGCATGAGTCCTGGACCAAGTGGCATCATGGACATTGGAAGAAAGGACCATGATGAGACACAAGACAATGTGATGAAGCAGCAGCACAGAGCAGGAGAGGTAGAGAATACTTTGACATGTGTAATACATTAGTCAATTTACCTGATCAACAGTGGGTTTTAGAATATTGCATGCTTTTGTTTTTCCACACAGTTTTAAGTCTTTGTGGGTGGAACAGCTTGTTCATATAGAACATACAGATAAATTAAAATATAAAGATAAGAGAATACTATTAGAAAACAATGAGCAAGAATCAGAGAACATGTCTGTTGATAGTGCAGGGGTGTCCAAAGTACTTTCTTCAGGCTATTTGCAGTGCAGCCCTTGTCCACTTCAAGAATAGCAGATTTATTTCAACAAAAAAGTGAAATTCTCACTGATCATAAAATTATGCAGATAAATTAAAATACTGCAAAAATGAAAAACTTGGGTAACAAGAACTATTCATCTTTAATAACCAATTTTTTGCTTTCATTTTAATTTCACCACACATTTTTTTTTACATTTTATTTTTAAAAATTCAAGTTTTTGTTTTGATTCTTTCCTCATAGAAAGTTTTTTTCACCCTATCACCCATTATCAGTTTCATTGGAATGGTAAATTTAGTCTGATTTTACAAGAGAATTGTTGTTAGCTAACAATCTTAAGTTGCCCATTGTGATGGATGGAAGAGATGGATTGGATTTCCTCCTTCTTTCTCTCCTTTTTGCTCCTGCTCTGCATCCACGACACCTCCTTTTCAGCTCCTCTGGGATTTCTGGCTTTTATTCAACTATTATTTCAACTTTTCTGATGAAGAGCTGTTTCCTTTTGTAAACCAACCTGTTGCTATGGTTACACATCATAACAGAATAGCAAAAATATGACAAAAATTGCCCAAGATGGGATTAGTAAAGTTTTTTTTTTAATTGGAATAGTCTGCCTTCCTGAGCGGCACAGTTCTAGAAATTGAACCAAAATTGCTAATAAATAGAGCCCAATTTATGCGTCTTTTTGATCACGTAGATCAGATAGAAATCTGGATTTGGTGTGAATAGCAACAAAAATATTGTATCCAAATGAATTCATGACTCATCAAGGGACCAATTACAATTTTCACATAGTGCAATGTTTTTTGATCAGCTCTTTTCCCTTAATGAATGAAATCATAATTTAAAAAATGGAAAATGATGTTTTGTATTTACTCAGATTATTCCTGTCCAAAATTCAAATTAGTTTGACTAAAACATTTAAGCTTATGAGAAAAACAAACAGCGGGTCTTAATTGGCAATAGCACCATAAACTGATTTTTTAAAATTATTATTATTATTTTACAATAAACAAAAACTATGCTGTCGTTCAAAGCGATTTTGACGAACTATACCTTGCAGTTTGTGTCAAACCTCAGGTCTGAGGACCTAAAAGCTGTTTTCTCTGACGTCAACTCAGATGATGGAGTGTAGCTGGAAAAACGAAATGGACCATCCACTGAATCCTGAATCCTGGGCTGATCTGCAGAAACGCACCAATTCAGTAAGTTGCTTTCCACCCTCTGTAAAATGAAGAAGGCTCGGAGCCTGATATATAATTCATACCTCATCTATTCAAACTAATGCCTCTGGTAGAGAAAGGAAATTCTCTAACTGATTCACACCTTAGGTGCCAATTGGTGCTTTTCCACTGTCTATGTTGTAATCTGATGTACAGGTACTTACAGGTGTTTTGAAACATGAATGTATAAAAAATGTATTTCCTGTTGTGTCTCTGACAGATAAAGAGAAAAATGCAACATCTGAATAAGATTTCAGCTCTGTTTCTCTGATTTAAGGTGTAGATAAAAGGGGGTTACAGTTGACTGACAGCCAGCTCTCTGACTGACAAAAGAAAGAGGAGAGAGATACGTGTTACCACGGCAGCAGTTGCCACAGTTACTGCATTTTTCGGCACAGGCCGCTTGCTACCACCTGCTGTCTGTTGGGTGAAATTGGCTGCAGATTAGCATGTGGGCTCTTACTATATGAAACTATTTAAAAGGTAAAATAAGTGAAGCAAAATGTTATATCCTGTATATCTCATTATGTGATATTATATATATATATATATATATATATATATATATATATATATATATATATATATATATATATATATATATATATATAAAAATTTCCCTTCTCACCCTCCGCGGGTGGTCTCTTTCATCCTCTGAGCTCGGGTCCTCTACCAGAGGCCTGGGAGCTTTCATCCTCTGAGCTCGGGTCCTCTACCAGAGGCCTGGGAGCTTGAGGGTCCTCCAGTATCTTGGCTGTGCCTAGAACTGCACATTTCTGGACTGAGATGTCTGATGTTGTTCCTGGGATCTATTTTAGCCACTGCTCCAGTTTGGGGGTGACTGCCCCGAGGGCCCCAATGACCACAGGCACCACTGTGGTCTTCACCTTCCAGGCCTTCTCCAGTTCCTCTCTGAGGCCCTGGTATATATATATATATATATATATATATATATATTCTATAGTGTATTATAATATGCTCTCATTCGTGGAGCTCAAATACAGTAAAAACAACTGCTGATATCATATGCTTTAGATCTGGTTAACAAGTTAAGGTTTCATGAAGCAAATACACAGTTTGGAAATATGAGGCTTGTTGCTTCATTAGGGTGAGCTTAACATCACCGCCCCCTTGTGGCTCAAATCAGAATAGTTCCATATACCAAACTTGATATCCAAACGTGTCCTTTAGCACATTTAGTGTACTTTATTGGGATTCTATCTATAGAAGTCAATACAGTACAACTCAAGCATATCAATGGACAGATTTGAATTCAATTGAAGTATATAACTTCTAATGTGGTTGAGTTTAGAGAATTGGTTTATTTTTTCATTTGACAGGTATTTTGGAGATTAAGAGCTTTTGCTTCAAATGAACAAAAATGAGGAAAAAGGTTTCTCAAAAGCTTCAGTCCCTGGGCAGAATAGACACCAAAATAAAATAATGTATATATATAAAGACAATTAAATGATTCATCAATATAGGAAAAAGAGAAAAACAACAATTCAAACAGGTAACCCTATTTCAGGACGACAGGATAGCAGAAACAGAAACATGAAAGCTGCAGTATGTTTTTTTATATATATATATTTTTACAGATTTGGTAAAACTGTCACTATGCTGAGTGAGAGAGATAATTTGTGAAAGTTTGAGCTCTTCTTCCCCTCCCTGTGTCATTTGCAGAAATACACAGTTACATCAGAAACAACCAATCAGAGGGTCTTAGTGTTGTCAATCATCCATGTGTACTTGCTAAATATTTTGTTTGAAAATTATACATTTAAAATATGGCTTTGAGAAATGAACGACCATTTTTCTTTTCTCTATATACTGCTTTTCATTTTTTACATTCTAACTTTGCAAATGACACACTGTACACTGTGAAACATAATTAGTTATCCTTACGTAAAATATATATGCAAACTCATTGCTTCAGATTTTTTTTCTTCATTTAACCGACTGAGTAACATTAACTTGAGCAATTCTAGTAAGCATATTTTATGTTAACTCAGAGGTTCCCAAACTGTGGGGCGCGCCCCCTAGGGTGGGCGCTGTGCCATTGCACGGGGGGCGCGGGAAGCCGTCTGTATGACAAAAAAAAAAAAAAAAA